TTGAGAATCTGGGAAACATTTTATAGTTTATTGGGTGATGGAAGCAAAATCTTTACAAGATCAACCGTGATCAGCTTCGTCTGCAGGATTTAATTCTTGATTTCTTTGCCTATATAAATAACATAAACATGAATGCAATGAAAGTGAAAAATGGGAATCAGATATTTGTGTCCACCAGAAGCAGTGACAGAGGTCTAATGCATCTGGTTTAAGGCCAGGTGAGCAGGATTTCTTCTCTTATGCTGCTCACTGACTTCTGTAGCACAGGACAGGCCCTTGAGGCTGGAGCAATCATGTCATAATGCCAAAGGATGGACCACAGACAAAAACTTAGCACGGCTTTTCATGAGCACTCGTGTCTTCTTGCTCCCATCTCAGTACAGGAATGTAACTCTCCTTGTAATTTCAAAGCCACTCGTTCAATCTTTTTGAGTAATTATGGGATGACAGCCGATTATACCCTGAAAATGCTTGCTAACACTATTAATCTTTTGCTCATATGGGCTGTTTATAGCTATAATTATAAATGAGTGAATAAAATGAAGTAATTTCTGATTGGTTGATTTGGGAAAGAAATTATGACTGTGGCCCAAAGGGTTCACTCAGTGCTCAATAGCACAAGGTGCTGAGCCTCCACTGAAATCGGGGGGCTCAGCATCCCTGAGGAGCACTCGGCACATCTTGGCAATGGGCTGGATCACACCCACAATAACAAGACTGGGGCAGCAACTCAAAGAAATGTTCTTATTGAAGTTGGGGATAAATTAAAGGGAGGCAACCAAAGAGAAACTATTTTCAGACAGCAAGTCTAGAATTTCAGTAACATTTAGCCTGATTCTTTGGAAATAAATTGTCTATGGAAGATATCTTACTAGGGTTTAAGTACTTAAGAGGCCCTTATTACAGGCTCTTATACACATAAGTCAAGCAATGTGATGCACATTTTAGTTCTATATTATTGCCAGATGGACTTTCACATTCATATTAATGTTTTTGTGAAAAAAGAAAAACCAAAATTAATTCTAGTTAAATTCTACTGTTTCATTGGCTTGTGGTCAAATTCAAACAACTTCAGGCATCTAAATGAAGGTTGACTGAAAAGCGATTTTTAAATTTTTTATTACTTTAGAATGTCAGTTTCTATTGCTATTATATTATACTGCTGCTGGGGAATTGTTGACAATTACTTCTGTCACGTGGCTTTCCACAGACCAATCTTGTTATTTTTCTTTTGTTTTAATTGCTATATAATGAACAATTTCAGTGTTATAAGATTAGGGAAGGAAGTTCATGTGACCAACACTTCTCCATAGTAACATTTATTGAAAAGATATTCTAGTGGGTCTCCAGAATAAAAGAATAGCTTTAGAGGCCTAGATGCAAGATGAGGTGAGTTCAAGGACAGGCAAAGCACAGTAGGAGCAGAGACTGTGTTTTATAAAGACAGTGAAATGAAGAGCAGTCAGAGGATGTGAAAAAGGTCCATAAGAAGTGTCTGTGGTTTAGAAGGCAGCTTCCTGCGACAGGGCTTCCCTCCCTTTGACTGCAGTGGTGGGCTGGTAATGGTAACTCTCTCTGGTAACTCTGTTTCCATGCCATGTGACACCATCTATATGCATTTTGAAATAAAATTGGTGGTGGTTTGGGGAAGATGGAAGTTGCCAACCCTGTGATAATTTCCTACAGACAACCAAGAAAGAGACCTGTGGATAGAAAGATACAGACAGGGAGTTGCCATGACCACAAAAGAACTCTCTAAACATCTGAGAAAGGGGCACTGAAGGAATTGAGATTAGAAACAATTCAGGAAGCTGTTGTCGTCTGCAGAGGTCCTGTTAAATTTTGCCCAAACACCTGCCAGCTGAATCCTAGATATTAGTGCTGATCTGTTGAAAATGCACAGGGTCTGAAAAAAAAAAATTAAAAATTTGGCAACTGATTATAAGGTTAGAAAATCACTTTTCACAGTTACTTTCAGAAGTGAGGACTTCTTGCAAGACTGTTCTTGTTTTCCTCACTACTGCTGTAGTTTTAGGACAAGAAAACTCCTTGGGCTTCCACGTTCAGGGCCCCACAGCTAAAACCCTCTCCTCTCCTCCATGCCTACTTAACCAAACTGATTAATTTCTTAGAATCATGAAGAAATGGTCTTGTTGCAGAGGAGAAGGAAAAAGGCTTGATAAAGTCAAAAGTCAAAAGAACAAACAGTGACAAGAGCAAGAAAGTGATCCTGTTTTTTGGGACATGTGTAGGAATTGTTTCTGCAGTTAACCTCTGTAGCATAACAGGTACGTTTGCACTTTACATTACACACTGCTTATGTTATTCTTAAAAATTATTTTGGTTTGAGCTAAGTTCCTACTTAGCAGTTCAGAGATTTAAAGGATGAGTTGCTATAACAGTAATACAGTATTGAAGCAACAGCATCAGGAGAGCTGAAGACACTGCTAACTACCAGCTGCCAGTTCATGCCTTGAAGTTGGTATTTGTGGACAAAAGTAACATTTCTAACCCAAGTGTCTGTGAAGGCAGGGCGAGACAGAGCCCTTGGGCACTGCACAGCTGGTGGAGCTCTGTTCTGGAGTTTCACAAACATTTTCCCTTCCATCAGCCAATGTCCGAGTGAAGCCTCTGGGGGGCGGGAGATGTCTTGACCACATCTGTCACTTTGAAAGAGTGTTTTGGGTAGCTTTCAGCTCTGTTTTCTCTCTGGGGACAAAGCTTGCATTTTCTAAGAACAGTCAAAAATGAAACTAGCCTTCAAGAGACCAAGGAAAATGACAAGAAAATGTATAAGTTTCTAGTCCAAGTCTGGGCTTGCCCTTACAGGTACGAGCTGTGTTTATATCACAATTTTCTCAACCCATTTTCTTCATACATTAGAAATCTCTCTTTTCCAGCTATTTCCTTTCCTGTCATTGTTGCATGTTTACAGAATTCTTTCACCAATTGTTTTCATTCTTCCCTGCTACTGTTTACGTGTACGTTTTGATAACAAAATGCCTCATGGGATCTCTCATGGCTGCTCCCTCCTCTTTATGCCTGTTGGTTTCCACCTAATAGTGCTGTTTCAGGACCTGTGTGTTTTCTCTGGTGAAACGAGCTGCTTATGACAGAGGTGAGGTGCCAGGCTGATCTCTCAGAGCACTGTGTATGTACGTGACAGACAGCTGCTGATTTTACTCTCAATTCTCAAGGCCAAAGCTTCATCTGCTTCCCGTCCCACCCATGGGAGCCATGACATCATCTCCATGGTATTCTGAAATGTTACCCAACGGTCCTGTCTTTTCCTCTCAGACTTTAGTGATGAAATCAGTCATTTCTTTCAGGGATGATGGTATTAAGTGTGTTCTACATGTCTTTTCTGATTTAATCTCTTCTCAATGTGTTTTTACTTTTTTCAGCTTTGTAATTACACGTTCTTTATATCTCTCAGTACAAGTGTTACGATTAAGCTGTTCTGGATCTGAGGTGAGGTTTGATCTGTTGAGGACCTCTTTTGAAATGCTTGTTTAAACTGTTTTCTACCTTAAAACTATAGCTGTCCTATATTATTTTTTCCATCGCTGTTTTTCATTAGCAAAATTTCTTGAACTTATTTAAAAAACACAAACAAACCAAAGATTTAGTAGCATCCCACCATGGACATGTGCATAAATGTGGTCATACCGTTTACATTTAAAAGGTACTTGTTCTCTGGTGAATCTCTGTGTGCCTGTCGGAGGTGGCAGGAGAAAGTATGTCATGAGTAATTGCCCAAGAATTGGAGGATCTTTTTTGTTTCTCCATAGTTTGCAGCTGCGCCATCATCAATTGCATGATTACATTTTCAGTTCCCAGCTGCTGCTTTCATGGGCCTCTATGTTGTAGGAGCTCCTTCAGACCAAAGACCCAGTCTTTTTCTTTGGTTGGCTCTACCTCCTTCCCTGCTGTGTGTGCTGCCTGATCTAGAAAGAATGAGCTCTCCCAATTAAACGTAAAAGTATCTGGGCACATAATGCAGGCTCTGACTTCTGCCCTGGGTTCCAAAGAAAAGCACACACTTCTTACAGCTGCAGTAGCCCAGGTCAAGTTTTCCCTTCTTTCACCCTTTTTTTCTTTTCTCTGTGGCTCCAGGAAAGCACATCTGTTAAGCCCATAGAAACATTTAGGATAAAAAATGAGGTGTCTTTGATGATTATATAGGTGGATCTCACATACATGACTGTTGCTTTCACCACTAATTTTTGGTTTGGATTATGCCTTTGGTCTTCAAATAATATTTCCAAGGTGTAAATCCATACTGATTCCAATAGGCTGACATCTGCTTTAATAATTTTACATGACTTTTAAAGATTTATGGCAGTTTTTTTGAATATACTTTGTATCATAATAAGAAAAAGAGTGGAGTGGGTCAGTACACCACGTTTACCATGGCTGTGCTTGCCTTCAGTGACTTTTTTGGGCGTTTCTTTAATGTTAAAAGTGTAATCGTTTTACGTGTTAAGCTTAGGTAAATGACCTGTGTCCTTATGGAAAGTTGAATGCTGAGCTGATGGAGTGTTTGACAGGTATGTCTTCCACAAGCAGAGGGGATGAGCAGCGCGGTCCCGATGCCATCAGGGCGCACATGCGAAAGGGTCGCGTTGTTTCTGTTGGCTCATGGAGCAGCAGCTTCAGGTGCTCACAATCGCCCGAACAAAATTAAATTTTCAGAAATAGGTTTATGGGGACATAACAGCCAATGAAAGCACTGAGCAACTGTCTAGAGGAGCAGGCGAGTGTAATTGCCCACATGGCCAGCACTGGCCCCGCACCCGGCTGGTACCGACGCGGGGACACAGCGCGGGCCGAGCCGGGTCTCGCTGGTCCCGCGCCCCGCCAGCCCGGCCCGCTCCGCTCCATCCCTGCAGCTCCCACACCTCCGGCGGCGGGGCCGAGGCGGGGCTTGGCCGCTCGCCCCTCCCCGGCGGCGGCGGCAGCAGCAGCAGCACCGTGCGCCGCCAGCGGCTCCTGTTGCGCCGCCGGTGCCCTCGGAGCCCCGGCCCTCCCACCGCCGTATAAAGCCCGGGGCGGGCGGCAGCGCCCATCGCTCCTGCCCGCCGCGGAGGAGGAGGAGCAGCAGCGGTACCGCGCCGCGGCGGCCCCCAGGCACCGCTTTCCCTTCTGGTTTTCCACGCCCGCCCCTCTCCCCCCGCTGTCGGGGGCTGGTGGCGCGGGCAGGCCGGCGGGTGCGGAGGGGGAAGATGGCGAGGAGCGGCGCCCGGTGGCCGCGCCTCCTCCTGCCGCCGCCGCCGCTGCTGCTGCTGCTGCTGGCCCTGGCGCTGCGGGCGGCGGCGGAGCGGCGCCCCGGCCCCGCAGGTGAGCTCGGTGCGGTGCGGGGGTTGGGATGCGATGGCGGTGCCCCGCGGGCGGCGTGTGCGGGCGGCGGGGATGCGCCGGCGGCTTTGTGCCTTCCGGATCGGTAACATCTGCCAGGGAGGGAAAGCCCTCCCGCCTCGGTGGAGGCTGGGACCCGCCGCTTTCCCGGGTTATTTATTTATTTCCTCCCGCCCCGCACGGTAACGCGCCGCTCGGGGCGGCGGAGCGGCTCGGCCGTGCGGGAGTGGCGGCGGCGCCGGCCGGGGCAGCGCTCCCCAGGTTGCTGACAAGAGGAACCGCTCGGCTTGAAAGTGCCTTAACCCGCCCAGGGGGTCATAGATGCATGATCACCCTCGGGAGAAAAGAAAAAGGATTCCTTAAAGGGAATTGAGTCTCTTAGGCTTTTGCCTTGCCCGCCTCCCCCCTTTTCTTCCCTCTCCCTGAGACAAGGTGTTGATGAACATGTTTTTCCAGGCTGGGGAAAGCAATAGCGTCAGTCGCTGTGTCTCTAAACTGTAGCAACTGCTGATGAAGTTTCCTACTTCGTGCAGAAGTCAGCTGGAGACTCACTCCAGTGCCTGCCTTGCCTTTCTCTTGTGTTCTCTAGCAGCTTTAACTTCAAGGAACCAGAAGGTAGAAGAAAATTTTATCTTCAGCATGTAAAATAAAGGAACGTATGCAGGAAATTCTCTCAGAGAGAGGTGTCCAAGCACATGTATGTCCATCAATATGCCAAAACATGTTTTTTGCGCTAATACTTTTTGAGAGTCCGTAGTTCTGATTTCTATTCTAAGCGTACAAAGGTATTTCATCCCACTAGATTATTACCACATGATATCCAAAATAGTTTCATTTCTTGGCTTGTTTTACTCAAGTGTAATCAAGTTATTTTTAATATCTGGCTTAATTTTCTAGTGTGCATAAGGAGGCTGCTTTATTTGAGAAGCAAGTTTTGTCAGCAAGTTCTTTGATATGAAAACTGCTGACTTGGTTGATAACTAGTGAAAAGTTAAAACAGTTAAAAAGAATGGTGTTGACGGATAGCAGACTCCACTCAATGAACTTCTCATTTCCACTTTTCTTGGTACTTTGCTACTTTTGGTCATTCAGAGGATTTATCTGAAGGCTGTGGTGTGGATGCTGTCTATCAGAGGGGTGTGAGCGTTACCATTCAGCCTTTGCTGCCCCTCGGAGGTGCACTCCACAGGAACAGTTTTGAGCAAAAAGTTGAGCTCCTGTACCTGTTTTCAGGGCAGTGACTGCAAGTTGAGCACCTTTGGAAATCAGTTATTGCAAACACAGTTATGTTTTCACGAACATATCTATTCAAATAATGCTTTTTTAAGCTATGTGCTTGAAATGTGGGATCTCAGGCTGATCTAAATTAGTAGCTGGTATGGTAAGGATTTTTCTTTAATCCTGCTGCTTTTCAAATCTGTGAAAAGCAGAGTGCGTAGTCCAGACAGCTCTGTATGATTCAGCAACCCAAAAATAGACTGCTATGTCTATATCAATAGTAAAAATGACGCTACACAAATTACAGTGCAAGAAAGCACTGATAAGTTTATATATAGGTGTTCACACAGGAAGACCTTAATTCCTTTTAGTTTAAACATGAATAACCTGAACTGTAGAAATCTGTGTAGGGCTGAAACCACTCTGTGAGTAGTTTCTTGACCCCAGACACTTCCTGCTGTGTTACGTGTTTTTATTCCAGTTTTAACCCTTAAATGTTTTCCCTGTGCTGTATGGTCTGAAGAGAGGCAGACCTTATGGTGCCTCTAGTTCTAGAAATCTGTTTTTCAATTTCTAGTCTCTTGATACTTTGTACAGTTTGGTGTAAAACAGCAGGCAAAGACACAATTTGCTTGTCGATTTTTAACACAGTCCATTCATATTGCTTACTTGAGACGAAAGCTCTAACAAGTGTCTGAAACTGACTGCCAAGCTGCATCTTCATAAGACTTTATTCAAAAAGTCTTTGGAAAGAGCTGCCTGTTGCACAGCACTGGTTACAGTGACAGTCAGTGTGGCCCTGTGGCAAACTGTTTGCAGAAATCTGTCCTGCGCTCCTTCCTTGGCCACAGGTTTATATTTCAGGCAGTTGCAGAGAAGAGCACTGTTGAGCTCTGAAACACTGGGCCCTGTGTGGTGAAGATGCAAAGTTTCTGTGTTAAAACACCAGTGTTGAAATATTGCCACTGCACCACACTTGCTGCATGCACATTGCTGATTGTGACACACAGAAAGACAGTGGAAATGACATTTATCGTTGTCTGAGAGGCAGACACTGCTCTTGGCAGCAGATGCAGATGATGTTCTCACCTAAAATGTTTTGTCAGTCAGCTGTTTGCATGGAAAATGAGTTTGCTGCCTTTGAGTCTGTTCCCCAGAGCAGCTGTGGGGACTGGGCTGGAGCACGCCCATGTTGAGGTGTTGGGGCCCAGGTTGCAGCGGCGGCAAATGGGCAGGTTTTGAGGTGGGTCCATGGTGTCTGTGTGTGCTCCTGAAGTGGGAGGGGTGGGCTGGGGGGAACAGGGCTCCAGCAGCGTGGGTGGCTTTCCAGAGAAGCCTGGCCAGGAGGTGGGGCAGCACAGCTGGCTGCGGGAGCGCTCGGAGCCAGTGGGCTTTCCTCCACCTCGGCATCCATCAGCTGCTGGTCACAAATGCTTCAAGCAGTAACTGCTGGCTGGCCTAGCTCTGTGAGGACTCACTTGAAGATACAGTACGTACTGTTGCCATTTGTGTTGACTTTTTTGGGGTCAGCCAAAATAGTATCTATGAGTGATAGCCATCGATAGACCTTCCCTTCTGGGTTGCTTGTGGTGCCCAAACAAGAGATTTTGGTCATTCAGCCATCTTGACATACTTATTAGAAGTACTGACAGAGTCAGCCTGCTTGGTGGAGGAGAGATCATAAATACAGCACTCTATGCCTGCCTCCATCTCTCTGCCCAATCTTCAGTGTCTTGCTTCTTTGCTGGTGCTACTTCTGTCTTCTCTTGTCACCACAGTACCAAAAAAACTGCATAAACCTGTATTGTGGAAAAACCTCCTCTGGGTCTCTTGGGGCTGTGCCCTTTTTGTGGGGACTCTATGAAAAAGCTGCCACCTCCCCTTAGAGGTGAATGGTAAAAGCAGAGATTGATGAGCCCAGAACTGACCCTGCAGGAGACAGCACTTGGGTTGCCTGTGTCTGGGGCACCATCATACATTTAGCATCAGTGTGCTCCACTTCAAATAGAAGTATCTATTTCAAAAGATACCTTTAGCCTACAGCTTTGAAATCAATAGTGACTGACAAATGTAACAGTGTGTAGTGAGGGGTGTGAGTATTTGGAAATAAGATAAAAGTAAGAAAATATGGCTGTGGAGGTGCAAACCAGCAAAATTGTTCTTTCATCACCTCTTTTTCCCATGAAAATACTCATCCTTGAAAACACCCAAAGTTTGCAGTCTGAGTTCTGTGTAGCACTTGTTTTAGAGGCTGCACAATGCCAATATCTGTGGCAAAAGAAAATCTAGACATTTTTGTTCAGGCTTTTCTTCCTTTCTGTAGGTAGAGGGAATAATGAGGCTGTGGAAGTAGACCACAGAGATGGACATGACATTGTTTCTCTCTGTGATATACAGTGGAATTACTGCAACTTTGACTGTAAAATGCATTTTTAATTAAAGCAAGAAAAAGTAAAACAGTTGTGACCTTTATCATCAGCATTAGATGCTGTAAACTGCACTGTAAAGGTACAGTGGAATGACTGCCATGATTATCTGAGCTGGGGGTGTTTTGTGTGAAATGTGTCCCTGTCAGGGGTCTGAACTAATATTATTTCTCAAGGTTGTCTTTATGTTCGTGGCACATTCTGGAGGGTCATTATTTATGTGCAAGTTCTTGGCTTTTTCCCTCCTTTCTGCTTATTTAAGCAAAAGTGACTCAGTCTCTTCACAGGGAAGTGTTTAGTTTGTCTGTTGAACTAACACTGTTATGTTGTGTAATCAGAAGCCGTATCTTTCCATTTGTGTAGAGCTGCCAATCTGAATTACAAATTACTTGACATGCTGCTCAAGTGAATTTCCTTGTCATGAAGAATAAGTATGGTTGCAATAAGGGCATTTTTGTTTTTATTTATGTTGTTAGGGGTTTTTATAGTTTTTGAGTGACCAGTTGCAAACAAGTTTGAAAGTGAAGAATGTTTTTGATCTTTCTTAATTTAAACATGAGCAGGGTTCTCTCAAGCACAAAACACAGCTTGACCAAACAGATAAGACACAATCCTGCTACTAATGTGTGGGAGTGTTGTAGCTCTAGAGAATAAACAACACTTAATTATCAAGGAATACATGCTTGCAAGCACAGCCTGACACCACAAGTGGCTTTAGGATTAATAGAACTGCTCCTGGAGTATTTCCTTAAGGTGAATTCAGTTTTAAAAATATGGATGGTACTGGTCATGAGGAGATGCTGTTTCATCTCAGAAGTCTGTTTTCCAGGAGCTAGAATTTGCTTACAGTTTGTAGTAGAAGTAAAACAAACAAATGAAAAACAAATTACAAGTGCACTAAAGAAACATTATTTGATCATCAGAGTAATCTGGCTTCTTCATGTTTTCTGTGTGTGTACATGCCTTTCTTGCTGTGAACTGGTTTTTTTAATATAATGTTTTAACATTGGTTACAATGAACATTAAGACTGGAGAAACTTAGGTACCTACTCATTGTTTAAATATTTAGATTATTGACTAGTGATACAGTTGACATATTTAAATATTTTATTCTGTTTCTGCATGAACCAAAATTAAAGATACTCTGTATTACTGTATAATTTCTTTTCAGACATGACTATTTTTGTAATGGAGTTACAAAGCAATTACAGACGAATTTCCGTAATAGTTTAAAGCTAATCAGTAGAACTCTGCTTTGGCTTAAAACATGACTTTCGAATTTATAGGACAATTCTGAAGAAACTACCTCTATTTTAGTGTTCGCCCCACCAGCTCTTA